CAGTCTGGGCGACAGAGTGAGACTCCAACTCAAAAAAAAAAAAAAAAAGGTGATATGATAGACGATAGTAGATGTTTACAAAACAGTTCGCCAATGCTCTGGTTTCCCTTCAGATCATACAGCTCTTTCGTCTTTTACAAAACAGTTTGCCTGACATGCAGATGCCACCTGTGGGTCCTCAGCCATGACAGAGGCAGTTTGGGAGGAGGATATGGGCAGGGGGTGGTACCTGGAGGCTGAAACTACTTTGTTTTCCCCCATCCCAAGAAGTACTGAACTGAGAACTGGAATCTTTATATGTGGGGAAGTTTGTTAAGTAATAAAGGTTTTTTGTTTGTTTGTTTTTTAGTCAGAGTCTCACTCTGTTGCCCAGGCCAGAGTACAGTGACATGCTCACAGCCACCACAGCCTCAACTCCCTGGGCTCAGGTGATCCTTCTGCCCCAGCCTCCTGAGTAGCTGGGATTATAGGCACGTGCCACCATGCCTGGCTTATTTTTTGATTTACTGTATTTATTTATTTATTTTGAGTCAGAGTCTCACTCTGTTTCTCGGGCTGTAGTGCAGTGTGCTCACGGCCACCACAGCCTTGGCCAGCTGGGCTCAGATGATCTTTCTGCCTCAGCCTTCCAAGTTGCTGGAACTACAGGCATGCACCACCATGCCTGGTTAATGTTTTGATTTACTGTGGAGATGAGGTCTCGCCAAGTTGCCCAGCCTAGTCTCGAATCCAGGGGCTCAGGCAATCCTCTCGCCTCCGCCTCCCAAATTACTGGGATTACAGGTGTGAGCCGCTGTGCCTGGCCAGTAATAAAGGTTTTAAAAGCATATTATGACACGAGATTATAGGTTACTGCAAACTAGCCTTTTATTTAGTCAAAATGATCATTTAGATATCTTGAGAAATAAAAAACCTTGCTTTTTTGATAGAAGAGATTTCCTTAAACAACAAAAAGCAACAAAGACAGTTGGGGGTCAACTGAATGGTTCTCTCCCTCTCTTTTTCCGTTGCTTACTTTAAAAGGTAAATAAAAGCTTTTAATATCTCTTAAAGAGACAAGTAAATTTTATTTCTGCATGAGTATACTAGTAACTTTTTTTTTTGAGTCAGAGTCTCACTCTGTCATCCAGGCTGGAGTGCAGTGGCACGCCCATGACCACCACAGCCTTGACCTGCTGAGCTCAGAGGATTCTTCCACCTCAGCCTTCCAAGCAGCTGGAATCACAGGTGTGCATCACCATGCCCAGCTAATTTTTAAAAATTTATTGTAGAGACAAGATCTCACCAAGTTGCCCAGGCTGGACTCAAACTCCTGGGCTCAGGCAATCCTCCCGCCTCGACCTTCCAAAGTGCTGGGATTATAGCTACCATGCCAGCACTAGTAACATTTAAATTAATTAGTATAATCTCATAACAAAATGTATTTAATTTTGGTTAGTTTAACTTTAAGTTAAGATTTTTAAGAAAACTAAAACACTGTTGTTTTAACATAGGAGCCTAGATTTTGGCCAAGAATTAGTATGCTTAATTTATAGAAAAC